TTTTGTCTGTCAGTCCAAAAACATATTTATTTCCGACGCATACATCTCAGTATGCGCACGTTATTCCAACCACATCTAATACACAAGTCAAACGTGTTGCGAAAAGATGTCTTTTAGAACTTTCCGCAAAACCTTTTTTTTTTACATTTTTTGTGTGAGAAAGCTTGCTAGTAGCTTCTCGTGGGTCGGTGGTTCATTCAGGGGGTTTCTCCGAATTCTTTCTATACCATTTATACTGGCCGCCATGTATAGCCCATCTAGTGCTGAAAAATAGCGTCAAACTCTCCAGGACTCACGGTACGAATTCAATTCCCATAGTAAACATATGCAAACTCCATGATATTAAAAATTCAATAACTTAAAATTTCTGAGTGCCCATGATCAAGCCTATATTTATCAGTGTAGATGAAATATGTATGTCAGCTTCTGTGTAGAGGAAAGGATAGAAGCCGCATGGACCTGCATATGTTTGAAACAATTGCTTTCAATTCCGCACCAAATTAAAGAGCTGGAATTCAATCAATAAAACAATGTCTCTTTTTTCACTTACAACTAGGATAATCTCTCAAAAGATTCTTTTTCCTGAAACATAACTTACATTACTAACCAGCCAACCCATATATACACTATTAAATGTTCACCAATTTCCAGGCTGGTTCCCAGTTTCCCATACCATTAGTACCGTGTGTTATACAACAAACTACGTTTTGTTTGCATCCGGTGAAATTACGAAGTATGCTGTGTCAAGGGAAATAACACATCGACCAAATTACGAATTCCCCCTCAACAGTTAACGGCCTTAGCAAATTCACTTTTACTCAGACTAACTTGGCAAGCCAATGTCATCGGGCAGTAAAAACTAATGAAATACGTCTCAAAATAGTTAGTACAGACCTATGGGCGCGATGTATCATGAAAAAAAGTATGGTGACTCCATGCTGTCACAAAGATGGGGGATGGTAGTCTGCGGTCTCACGAGAGGACTAACCGGATGTTTTATGTGGTTGTTGGTGAATAATTATAACATTTGTCACCATTTGGTTACCTTGAATTAGGCTGTCTCGTGACTTCATGAGATCAACGCCTTGTTACAGGCTAGTAAAGGTTTGTACAACTGATAGTTACCAGTAGGTATCGTCCCATATTTTTAAAATGTGTTGTATGTTTGTTTTTTATCGTTTCTTATTTCTTTGTTCGACAAATGCGCTAAATGCGTTGTATGTCCATACTATTCGGGGCGATTCATTAAACTTGATCTAATACGTACTGTAGAGGGTTGTAAGGTTGTGGAACTATTGGGAAAAAAAGCGGAAAGTTTGTGCACTTTAACTTGCACTGTGTGTCAAGGTCTCATGATCTGCAAGATATTCGTGGTTAAGTGAAAACCTATATTCAATACTTACACAGATGTTTGCGTTGGTAATAAAGATAAGCTAAAAGATGAAAATTGTATATTTATTGCACTTAGTACAGTCATGTTACGTCACAATAAGTTGCTAGCTATGGATTATTTTTCGCGAATCTATTGCCTCGTTCATGCTCTTAGACTTTCTTAGACTTGTACGCACCACCGCACCTGTGCCTTGAACAGTCCACGGCTAAATTTACAACAGCTAAGAGCAATAACTGCAGATATTCAAAGAAATTCATTTTTTTATGAGGCTGAGCTACTGAAGAATCGACGAAGTAACAAGGTGTTTTCTCTTAAACTCCAATACCATGGCCAAACTGGAACACGTTTTGAGTAGCCGAACATACATTGATAGGTATGGAGAAAAGGCTACTACTAATCGGGTAGACGTTAGCTAACTCCGCAAAACCTACTGGCAATCATTAGCTCTCATCATCTCTTTGAATGTGGGGTTGTATGGCAGTCCAATTTTCGGAATCTGTTGTTGTTGTTGTTGTGGGGCTTAACGCTATTTTCAGCACACGATAGGCTATACATGGCGGTCAGTATTAATGGTGGAGGAAGAAATCGGAAAATCACCGGAAAGAACCACCGAACCTATGAGAAGCTACTGGCAAGCTTTCTCTCATATCCACACTCGCCGAATTCTAGACTCGAACTCGCGCAGACAGAAGTGAGATGGCAGTGATCCGTAACGGAGAGCGCTTTAGGCCACTCGGGGCCCCATTTCGGAATCTGAGATTTAGTGAGGAAACAATGTAAAATACGATGCCAGCAGTGTAGAGCGTATAAAGATTAAGTGTTCTGTATAGAGTGTAGCATGATGAAGTGTTCTGTATAGAGTGTAGCATGATGAAGTGTTCTGTGTCGAGTGTAGCATGATGAAGTGTTCAGTATAGAGTGTAGCATGACAGTGTTCTGATGGTGTTCTTAAGATAGCAATGTTCAGTGTCGAGTAGCATGATGAAGTGTTCTGTATAGAGTGTATCATGATGTCTAAATGTCAGTGTTCTGTATTGAGTGTAGCATGATAAAGTGTTCGGATGATGGTCTTAAAATGGCAGTGTTCAGCATGAAGTGTAGCATGATAGAGTGTTCGGATGATGGTATTACCATGGCAATGTTCTGCATAAGTGTAACATAATAAAGTATTATAATGATGGTATTAAAATGGCAATGTTCTGCATAAAGGTAGCATGATAAAGTGTTCGGATGATGGTCTTAAAATGGCAATGTTCCACATGAAGTGTATCATGATAGAGTGTTATGTTTCCAATGCAGTAGGATAAATTATTCTGATGCTGGTCCTTGGATGAAGAGATTTGTAATCATTTTTTATCGTCATCGAGCTGTATATTCGTGTACTATCGTCATCGAGCAGTATACTTGTGTACTATCGTCATCGAGGAGTATGTCACAGCTGCACTGGTGTGACTATGACTGCAACAGAGCATAACTTGTGTAGGATAAGATTTAAAATATTCGACGGATTTGTAATTTTATAGGTGTAGTAGACACTCACTGAAGGCACTGTGCATGAGAAAGACTTCTACATGACATGTATAAGGACACACAGGGAAAGGCAACAAGAGAGCAGTAGTAAGGTTTTTTTTTCGTGAGTATACATATCGGACGACATGTATATTATAGTCAAAACTCCATTATTATCAGAACTGATACCGAAAATTAGGGAAACTTCTAAATTAAAATCCTAGAACTGTAAAACTTGTAAAAGAGATTACTGAAAACGAGGAAATAATCTACCTTCTTATTTTAATAAAAAAAAAGCAAGATCATGCAAATTTCTGGTGTTCCAATCATGACCTTGCGACTGAAAAGAGGGACACAGTAAATTTGAAAAAAAAGATCGAATATGTGCAATTTATCAACACAAAAGTATTCAAGTTCTTGAAGATGAATTTAGTTTTGTTGCATTTGCTCTGATTACTAACAATTTATCAAGAAATATTCTTAAGCGACATACTATTGCGATCCCTACGGAAGAAACGCTTGTTTCGCTAATGGACTGCATCAATCAACTACGATAAGTCAACTTCCATATTATTTCTATTACGCTTTTTCATTTAAGGTCGCAATAATTAAATAGTTTCTGATGTGTATGCAAGATAAGCAATTTAATAATATAAATGACACAAGATTTATCTAAGCAAAATATTATATGCAAGAAATATAACACGAATAAGCGTTCAGCATGGACTTTTCTTTTGCATTGGTAGGTACGTTCTATTGGAGTAAAACTTGTTTCTTTTATAGATAGTTTAGCCATATTGTGATTTTTGTTTGACGTGTAGCTTGGGGTACACGCCACAGTAGGTCTCGAACAAAATCATAGGTCGTATTGGATCGTTGACAAGCAGAAAGATCAAAAACGCATTTGTAAGAAGCGTTTTGTCACTTTCAAAAATGCATGTATATGCATATATATATATATATATATATATATATATATATATATATATATATATATATATATATATATATATATATATATATATATATATATTTATTTATATATATATATATGTTGTTTATATTTTATTCATGACACGCATTGAGGGGGTGCTTCTTGATGAAACAGACAAGTAGATCACTGTGACCCATATTTCATGGTTCACTGACTTGGATTCAATCTCAATCATCAAACTTGATAAGTTTATGTCTCCCTGTTTGTATCCTTACCAAAGAGAAGAAATTCATTGTGAACTACCTTTCACACTGTACAGGAATATGTTAAGTGTTTGCAGTTAGCAGGTGTCCATAGTTTTTTTTAAATTGCTTTTAAACTTGGAATCGAGACACATTATGAGAGGATGTATCCTGATGTGTACCTTACTTTAAAATAGGTCGCTGTTGCCATATTTCATGCTTCAAAAACTTTGGTTAGATTTTTGGTTTAAGTTTATTAGTGCTGATACTGATATTTATTATATATTAATTTATATTATAGTTTTTATTTAAGTCATTTGTATTATGATATCTTAATTCTTTTAATTCAGTGACTAGCTGATGCTACAGGAAGTCATTGTAAAATACGTTGTGAAATTTTACAATACGTTGTGAACTTTTGATTCATAAATCAAGGCCAATTGCCAAGGTCTAATACAAATCTATTTTTTTAATAATTAATTTTGATTCGTAAATCAAGGCCAGTTGCCAAGGTCATGTAAAAATCTTTTGATTAATAAATTTTGGTGATGGGATGCACCTTGATCATTACTACACCCTCGTTCCAAGGTAGGTTACTCTGATACGTATTTCACATTTTACAGTGTATGACATTGTTCATGGTAGAATCATCCAACTAAATGATTTTATGCATCTATATTATTGCCCTTACAGCTCAGAATAACCTAAATTCACAATTTACTGTCCTAATTTGATACTGCTATAGCTGGACTAATGAAACCTGGTGAGAGGTTGCATCTTAATGAATGCTTTACGTTGGTCTCAAATGTTGGTCACCGTGGCCTTTATTTAACATTTCACTTAGTTCAGTTTGATGCTTTCACTATGTTTAGCACCATTAAACTTGACGAGTTTATTTATCGATCTTATTACGACACTCACCGCTCTGGTGGCCTAGAGGTTAGAGCGTCCGCCTCGGATTCGGGAGGTCGTGGGTTCGATCCCCGTCGATTCATACCAAAGACTTACAAAAATGGTACTACCAGTTGCCTTGCTTGACGCTCAGCATTAAGAGGTTAGCGTTGGGACTGGTCAGCCTGTTGTCAGGATAATGTGACTGGGTGGGACATATTGGTTCATGTTTGCGGCATGATGCACCAGTGCTAGACATCACTAAAAACTGCCACACTGCAGACATCGTAGCGAAATGACTGAATTTTTTTAAAAAAGTTATGTTAAAAATCATAATCACATATTGCGATACTCATATAAAAAGATGTTACTGTGACCTATATTTCACATTTTAATGGTATTTGGTTTTTGGTATGGTATGTATATGCTATCCCATCTAGAATTATATATATATATATATATATATATATATATATATATATATATATATATATATATATATATATATATATATATATATATATATCTATATATAGGTATATATATATATATATATATATATATATATATATATATATATATATATATATATATATATATATAAAGAGAGAGAGAGAGAGAGAGAGAGAGAGAGAGAGAGAGAGAGAGAGATCTGACTGCGACACCAATCACTCTCTAGTCTGCTGTAAATTTAAGCTTCAACCAAAGAAGATCCACCACTCTAGGCAAATGGGTAAACCACACATCGATGTGAGCAAGACGTCATATCCAGATAAGGCTGAAGAATTCACTTACGCCCTCTCCAAGGCGTTCAGTTCAGAACCTCCCTTCGGCAGTGCCAAAGAGAGATGGGACAACATCAGAGATACTATGTACAGTGCAGCCACAAGAATCTTTGGTAAGAAGCAGACAAAGAACAATGACTGGTTTGACGCCAATTCCGCCACACTCATGCCAGCAATAGAAGAGCGTCGCAGTGCCCACCTGGAATTCAAGCGTGCTCCCTGCGTGAGGACACTACATGCATATAGGTCTACAAGAAGCAAAGTGCAGAGGTTAGCACAGCAATGCGCTAATGAATACTGGCTTCTACTCTGTCAGAGCATCCAGTCAGCAGTAGACAACGGAAACAGCAAAGGCATGTATAATGGCATAAAGAAAAGCAATGGGTCCAACGAAGAAAGTGATAGCTCCACTGAAGTCTTCTGCAGGAGATATCATTCATGACAAGAACAAACAGATGGAGCGCTGGGTGGAGTACTATTCCGAACTGTATTACAGAGAGAATAACGTGACCAACAATGCCCTCAACGCCATTGAAAACCTCCCTTGTTTGACCAAACTGGATGAGAAACCTTCTGTGACTGAACTAAAGCCAGCATTAGAGAAACTGACCACAGGTAAAGCCCCAGGAAAGGATGGCATCCCAGCAGAAGTCATCAAATGTGGCGGCAGTGTGCTGTTCACACACCTTTATGATCTTCTCTGCCAGTGCTGGGATGAAGGTTCAGTGTCTCAGGACATGAGAGACGCCAACATCATAACCCTGTATAAGAACAAGGGCGACAGAAGTGACTGCAACAACTACAGGGGCATATCACTTCTCAGCATCGTGGGTAAAGTCTTCGCTAGAGTCATCCTGAACAGACTGCAGACGCTTGTCGATAGAGTGTATCCAGAGTCTCAGTGTGGGTTCCGCGCAGAGAGGTCCACAATCGACATGATCTTCTCCATCAGGCAACTGCAGGAGAAATGCAGGGAGCTACACAGACCCCTCTTCCTGGCTTTTATAGACCTCACCAAAGCATTCGATCTGGTCAGCAGAGACGGACTCTTCAAAATCCTGACGAAGATTGGATGCCCTCCAAAGCTGTTAAGCATGATCCAGTCCTTCCATGTAGACATGAAAGGCATAGTGCAGTATGATGGCTCATCGTCCGAACCATTCAATATCCACAGCGGAGTGAAACAAGGCTGTGTCCTTGCCCCCACGCTCTTTGGCATCTTCTTCGCTGTCCTGCTTAAGTACGCCTTTGGGACGTCCACAGAAGGGATCTACCTGCACACGCGTTCAGACGGCAGACTGTTCAACCTGGCACGACTGAAGGCAATGAGCAAAGTAAGGAAAGCAACCATTAGGGACATGCTCTTTGCAGATGATGCTGCTATAGTCACTCACACAGAAGCTGAACTACAACGCCTGATGGACCGCTTTGCTAAAGCATGTGATGAATTCGGGCTGACCAAAAGCCTAAAGAAAACCAACGTGATGGCTCAGGATGCAGACCCTCCCAGCATAACCATTAAGAACTACAAACTAGAAGTAGTCAGTGAGTTCACTTACCTTGGCTCTACCATCACCAACAACCTCTCACTCGATGCCGAGCTCAACAAGCGGATTGGAAAGGCGTCAACAACTCTCTCTAGATTGTCGAAGAGAGTGTGGAACAACAACAAGCTGACATTAAACACTAAGATCACCGTGTACCGTGCCTGCGTGCTTAGCACTCTTCTGTATGCCAGCGAAACTTGGACCCTGTACGCCTCTCAGGAGAAACGACTATGCGCCTTTCACATGCGTTGTCTCCGTCGCATACTTGGGATCACCTGGAGCGATCGTGTGACAAACAACGAGGTGCTTCAAAAGGCCAAAATTCCCAGCATGGTCACACTCCTCCGCCAACGTCGCATCAGATGGCTGGGTCATGTGCATCGAATGGATGATGGACGGATCCCCAAAGACCTTCTCTACTCTAAGCTTGCCTCAGGCAGAAGATCAATAGGACGGCCACATCTTCGCTTCAAGGATGTCTGCAAGCAGGATATGAAATCTCTTGGAATAGAGGTCAACACCTGGGAAGAGCTTGCCCTCGACAAGTCCAGCTGGCGACATGTTCTGTACACAGGTCTGAAAGCCAGCGAGGAAACGTTACGACAGCTCGCTGATGAGAAAAGATCTCAGAGGAAGAGGATGCAGTTCCAACCAAGACCCGAGTCATACTTCAAGTGTAGCAACTGCAACAAGGATTGCCACTCCCGTGTGGGACTTTATAGTCACAGAAGACGCTGCACAGCTACAAACTAGGACACCTTTCATGGGCGCATTTTCATCGTCTCTCGAGACTAACGGAAGCCAACAAACAACAAGATAGATAGATAGATATATTTTATACAAACATATATATATATTGTTGTGGTTGATATATATATATATATATATATCTATATATATATATATATATATATATATATATATATATATATATATATATATATATATGTATATATATATATATGTATATATATATATATATATATATATATATATATATATATATATATATATATATATATATATATATATATATATATATATATATATATATATATTGTTGTGGTCGATGCTTGAGCGAGCGAATGACAGTCCCTATTGCAGCTGAAGCAGACGTACTGGAAGTAATGAGTTGCTTGGTTTGCTTATGCACTCTTCTTTCTCTCGGGATTCTCTGTGGCCAGCTGACATCTCATATCAGCGACTTACACACACAGACACATGCACACACACACCAATCTAGAATATTGAAACTTGATGAGTGGATGCACCATTATTTATATACATCATGCAAAAGGTATATGTGACCTATATTGCATGTTTCAATGGTTTGTTAAAATTTTGTGTTAAAAGTTCACTGTTTTGTTCCAATCATGAAATATGGATGTACTTCTGTTGCTGCTGTTACATACTAGAACCAAAGGTCACTGTGACCTACATTATGTTTTCACCAACATTGGTTAATTATTTGTTTATTATTACACAGAGCCAACCATGCCAGACCTATATACAATCAAACTACTAAGAAGGACCATTACACTTGAAAGTGAAATAAGTGTTTATTCAGTGGTAAACTTTCCATAACAAGACTGCACATTGTATTTATAGGTTACTGCATTTGTATAGGAAAACATGAACGAGATTTTCGGATGTATATACTTCACAACTTTGGGAGTGCAGTATATCCATCCGTCAAAACGAGTTCATATTTTACCATACAAATGCAGTAAACATTTTAATATATGTTAATTTTCTTATTCAACTCAAGGCTTAAATATATAAATAAAAATACACTACAAGAAACAAAGTAACTGAATGTATGCTGTATTCCAAACTAAATACACAAGCGTAGCTGCAGCATTACATAACAATACTATTAATGGGCACGTAACTCCGCCCAGACAGATTTGAATTTGGTCGCTTGTTAGACGTAATTTTCGAAAGAAAAAAGGCGTTTGCTTTACTTAAAATTGAAATTTGGAGTAATGCTGCTAATGAATGCACATTGCAACAACTTTTTTATTTGATCTAAAATGAATATGTTTCGGTATTTTTGTCGATGCGACGCAATTTCGTGATTATGGTCTGGATTTATCTACAGGAAGTTACTTACATCGGATTACAGCAGCGTCTGCCAATTTAATCGCACTGAAGTGTTTTGACATCGGCGAGCGTGCTTCTGTTTTCTGTCATTGAATGATTCCGATCATAATGTGGGAAACAAATGAAGTCTTTGAATTGCAATTATCCAAAAGACGTTGGGGAATTAATTTTTGTTTCATTTTCAGTGAAGTAATGATGATGTAAATGTACTTGGAATATCATCAAAATTATAGTACAACTGCGAAATGTGTAATCAGCCTTGAGAACCCATGACATGGCTCATGTAATTCGGATTTGAAGAACTACGACAGTATATTGTGAGGAAAATCAGGATGAAAAATTGTAAGTATAGTTTTGCCATTTTTATTACTAGCTAAAGAAGACAGTTTATATATATCATAACTTACATGTTATTGTAAGGACTCTGTATAGCGTCTTTAGCTAGCCTAAATCTTAAACAATGTATCAAAAAGTTAACGCAGAATGTGCCAAAGTTGATGATATATGGCAGTCTATGAAACATTTGTTTTAGTTGATTTAAAAAAATGTTTGTTTACAATAGAAAGTAGTTCTTCGCGTGCATTTAGTATGAATTCAACGCGAGAGTGCAATATCGAGAAATATTGAACGTTTCTGACAATGGAGAAAAAAATGAGCATATAATAAATTGTGATATGTT